CTTCATTTATGAAGCACAGCTTATATGAAGCGTTGCTACATGATATATGATTACATGCAGCCGTATCTATCAAAGCGGTTGCTGCGAGATGCCAACGGGAAACTTGTCCAAAAATGATTCGTCTAATGCGAGCAGAACAAAATCTTCTTTCGCAGGTTTTCGGCCGTTTAGGTTCGCTTCTGCCATAGTCCCACTGTGTTGCACCTCTGCTACGGTTTGTGAGCAAGTACCAAGTTATTGCGCCATATGCTTTTGAGAAGTGGAATACGATTAGTTGAAGTGGATGGCGCAGTTCGGCGACGGTGAGAGGGAGGGGGGGGGACATTTTTGATGTGTCGACCCATCTAGACAGCCTTTTCTTGAGTTGACAGGTTTTACCATGGTGGCTAGACGAGCTTGCTCCAGCTTCACAAGAGTTCACAGGTTTCACCAGAGTGAGACTTGTAAACCGGAAGTAGTGAAGCAGTGAAAGTGCAAAATGCCCCTCTCCGTCGCCGAACTGCTCCATTGTGAATATCATTGATAGAAAGAATTGGTGAGAAAATGCATCTATTGTAATAATTACTGTGATACCGAGCAGGCGATGTGAACTGATGTTGCTCAATGTATCCTAGCAAACTTCAACGGCACTGCGACACCGCCTGCTCACTTGCATGCACACGAAGCTAGCCGCTCAAGCCACATTCCTTCTATCGTCCACACTTTGGCTCTTGCAGCGGGTAGACAAACGACGCTCTCTTGAATACTATACTAGCAAGATGGAGAGTGGTATCATAGAAACTCGTCCTCCACCCAAAGTCAACGGGCAGAGTCTCTGCACCATTTCAAGGATTTTTTGACCGCCTTTTAGTTTCCTCTTTACAGCCAAAGTTCGTGGATCTTTGCATCCTCTTCAACCGGTGACAAAATCAGCGTGTCCCCATTCGCTGAGCTATTAACGATTTCAGATTGCAACGGAGTGCTGAAAAGAGATATCGTACTGCTTGTGGACACCCTCGCTTCACCTGCGAATGATAACAAGAGTGCTGCTCTCGAGAGACTCGGAGACGCCGTGCGTTTTTATTCCATTCACGATCTGCAGACTGTGCACTTTCTTGGTCTCACATTGATGTGCTTTCTAGCTTTCCACCGGTATCCCTTTCGGAACGGGTGTTCGTATAGCAATCGTCAACTTGAACGATGCTGTGACGATCAGCGGTTTCGTCTCTGATATAACGGCATTCAACGCAGCTTGGGCCAAGGTGGGTAGAAGAGCCACTCGTTTTTAGCTTGGAGAAAAGAAAGGGAGGAGCAAAAGAAAACATTCCATGATTCCTTGTTGTATTTCAGCTTGTCTCCGCAGTCATTCACAGCTACAGCGACCTCCATCGACGTCCAACCTGCTTACGGAGTCGTAGCGTCAATGCTCACACAGCAAACTCCTTTGGAAGCCATTCTCGTGTCTGATCATCCTGTGTGAGTCCAAAAAATACCGCAGGGCTGGATGTTTT